GCCACCATCAGCGTCAGCCTGAAGAAGCCGGCAGCTGTCGGCGAAACCGTAGCTACAAACAGGTAAACAAAACTGTTTCTGTGTTTAAAAAAGAACGAAAGCATAGATCTATGAGATGCCGTACCCGACAGAGACCTGTACTGGATAGGGAGTCATTTCAAGGAGGCCAGCACCGGGGTTATGTGATCCCATTTCTTGATGCCACAAACCAACCTGACTGCGGCATTCAGTGGTTGGATGTAAAATACAGTATTGCAGTAATGCGCTGTAATGGTCAGAATATTCAAAGTAGTTCAAATGAAGACAACTGGACTTCTTTGGTTTCTTGAAGACATTTAAATTCTCATGCAAGCAGCTTTGTCAATTCTAACAGGAATGTGGGTGAGTCAAGCTTATAAGCTGTAGCTGCCTATTGTTTAACGAGCAGAAACTACTTATGAATGCCCCTCCTCCCTACCCTCGGTGGAGTAATTTATGTTGTTTGGTCCTATTGTGTGGGAATTGTTTAGTTTACTAAATGCAGGAAGGTGTGACCTAGACTGAAACTGTTTGGGAATTAGATTCAGAGCTGCCTTATATATTGTTTTATTTCATAAGTTTTTATTTGTGTTTTATTTGTACGAAGGTGAATTAGAATTTTTATGGCTTTTTAGGTAGAAATGCTTTGACTCTGCAGCACCTTGGTCAGCTGACATGCTGCTTTTAAACGTGCTATACAAATAAAATTAGAATTGGATTGGTGCTGGAAAGGTGAAACCTGGCTTAAATCTGTGGAGTCTCCAGCGAAGGTGTTAGCTTGACTCTTATTGCTAACTTCCTACCTTTCCATAGCTGTAGTTCCACTAGATATTCCTGGGAGGAGGAGGCTGAGACCTCCCCCTCTAGTTAAAGTTGTTTTTTCACGTTTGACATAGATAGCTTCTTTGAGTCCTCTCTCAAACCATCTATCTTCTCTGTCCAGAATGTGACTTCCTCATCATCAAAGGTGTGTCCCTTGTCCTTCAGGTGTAGGTGGACTGCAAAGTCTTGACCTGAAGAGGTGGCTCTCCTGTGTTGTGCTATGCTCTTGTGTAATTGTTGTTTAGTTTCCCCGATGTAAAGATCTGAACAGTCCTCACCACATTGGACTGCATAAATGGCGCCACTGAGCTTCTGTTTGGGTGTTTTGTCTTTTGTATGGACCAGTTTCACTTTAGGACAGAACTATAAATTCCTCTTTGGTATTCAGAAATGTTTTAATTTACATAGTATTTTGAAAGTTCATCGTCATCTTCTTCTCAGAGACTCACTCTCGACTCCAGGGCAGATAAAACACATCTAGAGTATAACAGAGTAGAGTGAAAGCCATCTGGTCACCACATGTCGTTGGGTTTCATGAGACTCGTCACAACAAAAGAGCTTTCATAGATCCTCTTCTTTTATCAGATGGAGGAGAAACCAAACACCACGAGTTGATCCCACCCGGTTTGTGTCCGTTAGTGTTGTACGTGTGGAGCAGGTAAATCAAGGATGAGATAACCTTATTAGATCAAATCCAAATGAAAAATCCAACAAACAAGGACAGAACACTGGAATAAATACAGTAATAAATGAAAGAGACATCCAGTTAGTTCCAGTTAATGCATGGGGAAAGTCACACACACACACACACACACACACACACACACACACACACACACACACACACACACACACACACACACACACACACACACACACACACACACACACACACACACACACACTTATGTTTCTTTAACCTTTGACCTCTTGAAGCTCATCAGTAACCAGAAGTGTGTGTGCTGTCTCATCTGTCTTCATTAGACTAGAATGTGTGTGTTTGCTGCTGTGACATCAGCTGATCTCACACACACTGTCGTGCACGGGGCTTCCTCACTGACCCTCTCCATTTTGTGTTTATTTTTATTTTTTATGTTACACTGAAATGCTTTCTGGCACCAGTTATACTTAGTGATGAATTGTTTAATGTCCGTAGTTTTTTTTTCTTCTCCCTCAAATAGTGAAGTGTTTGTTGGGCTTTAGTAGTGGACAGTAAATAATCCTAGCTTGGAGGACCAATAGCAAACACCCATGTGAGTAGAAGAGCCTCTGCTCAGGGCGCCCCTCATGGAAACTCTTTAAAAGCTATGAGAGTGTTACACAGACAACGTTCTAACTAGAAGTGAAGATGTGTCATAGTGTATGTAAGTGGGTTTTCTCCCACCAAACAAAAACTGACATTAAGTAAATTCCCTGCCTTGCTACATCCAAAATGGGATTTGGATAAACGAGTCGGCTTAAAAAACAATAATATAAACCGGTATTGGCTTAAATCTGTGGAGTCTCCAGCGTAGGTGTTAGCTTGACTCTTGCTGTTAACTTCCTACTTTTCCATAGCTGTAGTTCCACTAGATATTCCTGGGAGGAGGAGGGCGACTGAAAACGAGGCCGTCTCAGTCTCCTCAGCTCCATACAAATTCAGCCTAATCAGGACTTTGCTAAGATGTCATCTCATTGTGATGGTTTCAACAGTGATCAGTGCCAAATGGATCGACAACAGAGAAGCACCGAGTTACAACCAATCAGCATCAGGTAAATGGCCAGCATTTGATATAGCGCCTTCTAGGGTCCTGGAACCCCCCCAAGGCACTTTACAGCACAATCAGTCATTCACCCATTCACACCCTGGTAGTGATGAGCTATAGCCACAGCTGCCCTGGGGCACACTGACGGAGGCTGTCGTACGAAGGCAAGGTGGGTAAAGCATCTTGCCCAATGACACAACAGCAACAGACTTAGCAGGGCTCAAACCTGCAACCTTCCGATTACAGGGCAAGCACTTAACACCTGTGCCACCGTCACCCCTCAACCATGAGTCTCGCCCAGCAGATGTACTGGAGTTTTCCCAGTACGTACGTCTGTTCCTGAGGTGGTCCTCTCAGGCCGACCCACTGAAATTTGACGGTCCAGTAGAATAGCTGGAATGGGCCAATTTCCATGTTTTGGACGGTGCATGAAATCATTGACTTTGGAAAATAAATACATCTCAGCTATGCTATCTCATACTTTTTAGTATACTTCTGTGGTGAAACAAACAGTAAGAAAATAATACATGAAAAATCAATAGTTACATTATTTTCATTCAGAAACACATTTGAGTGTGTGACTGGATCCCAAGGTGCATCCACAAAGCAAGACGTGTATAAAAATAGGTGCTGAATCAGCCACATCATCTCTGTTAGGTTTGGTTCTTATGTTTTAATCACCTGCTTATCTGTGTTTGAAGGAAGGAAGGCTAACAACCTGCTGATATGGAAATGAGACCCATACCAGGAAGTGACAGAGGTGCTGCAGTTTTGCTGCTGACTGCAGGTACTCAGAAGCTTACACCCTTTGCGTATTCTCTCTGGTGCGTTCATGGGGGGCCACAAAGAGGGGTCCCGCAGGCCGCCTATTGAGGACCACTGATCTAGAGCAACACATCTCTAGAAGAATATCTGACTTTTCGTGCTGTGTATTTGTCACCCTCTTTATATTAGTAAGTAGACCCGAAACAGACCCTTGGGGTACCCCAAAAACACATCACTAGAATTTGACATCATTTGGTTTGTACAGACAATAAAACATATGTTAGAAAGGTAAGATCTAGAAGAATTCCAGAGATCCTAAAGACCATTGATGCCTGGAGTTTTGTTCTGCTCAAGGTGGTTTTTTTTTTACATTCGCAGACAATAATAATACATCAAACTTATATAGTGCTTGTTTAGGACTTGTTTATGAAAGATGCTTTCATTCACTCTCACATTCACACACTGCTAGTAATGGTAAGCTACTTTGTATCCACAGCTGCCCTGGGGCGGTCTGACAGAGGCGAGGCTGCCATTTGGCACCGTCGGCCCCTCTGACCACCACCAACACAGGCAAGTGTCATGCCCAAGGACACAACAGCAGAATACCCCTGGCGGGAGCTGGAATCGAACCCATAACTGATCATGAGGCAACCCGCTCTACCTCCCGAGCTACTGCTGCCCCATTTTTTTATGTATTTTTCATGTTCTTGACCTTGGTGGGAACTTGTTAATTTGGTGGTTTGACAGAAACACTTCTGTTGTGGATTTAGTTGACTCAGAACATTCTACGGACAGTAAAAAGTTGAAATATTTCCTAATCTGACAACCAACCACTGACCCAAACAAAAAGTTGCTAGAACTAAAACTAGGAACCAGAATGTTCTTTATCAGCAACTCTGAGGTAGTTTTAAAGAAGTTCAGAAGGGATGAAACTTTCAAAAGAAACAAGGAGATTGGAAGCTTCTAGCAGTTGCGTGTTTGGATTTCTATCCTTGTAATAAACACTCCAATTTGTTCCTCCATTACATACAAACTTGGAAAGAAACTAGTCTAGTTTACAGTCAGGTGGTGAATCTGGTCACTATGGTGCTCTTTTGATTAAGTTTGGGCAGTGATTTCCAGAGTACGATCTTGTATACAACATGCAATTGTTCTTTTTAAGAAGTCTATTCATTATTACTTGGTAGTGCCATCTTGCTAGGTGTGATGTGTGATAAGAGTTTCAGCAATAATTCTAGGAAAGATGTACAACCCTAACCATACAAGTTACAAAATGTCTCTCGTGTTATGTTACAAAAAGGTAAATTAGGATACAAACCCACCACATGAGTAATTTTATCCAAAGAACTTCATTAACAGGTTTTGTATTGACCATAGTTTATTGTATTGTGTTTAAAGAGGTATAACATGTCCTGAGTTTGACTAAACAGTTTTTCATGTAAACATAACCTGATTGTTTCTATCTGAAGAAGTCTGAGACAATTGGGGGTTCGTCCGGGATCATCTTGCTCTGGTGCATGTTTAGATTTTATTGTTTTATTATTAAAATAAATCCAGATGGTTGTTGTATCACAATGGCAGGATAACCCTCTAACGTTGAGAGGATCTGAACCACATTAGAACTGAAAAGAAGTGTCAAGAAACCAAACATTTAACAGTTTTTCCTTTTATTCCGTGTTCATCTGTTGGTATTTGCCATTTTATTAGTATTTTCAATAATTAGTGGTTTGATGCAAAAGTATGATGCAATCATTTCTGATTTACAAAAAAATTAATCAACAACAAAAAAAAAACTAGCAGCAACATCTGCAGAGAAAGGACTATGGACACCAACAGGATATCACTGCAGCTACATCAGTCAGATACTAGAAGTGATTTAGTGGTATAGTTTGCAGATTGGAACTGTTAAGTCCTAATTATTGACCAGAAAAATATTTCTTTCAACTGCACACAAAATTATGTTAATTCTCATTAAATATAAGCTAAATGAATCCATATAAAACTGTTCATAATTGCCTCTGGAACCCACTAGTGAGCATTATTTAGTTTGAACAATCACTAAACTGTGTGCAGAGTCCAAACTCTACAATGTTGCTGCTTTGTTGACTGAAAAAATAAAATAAAATACAGCAGAGGCACATTCAATAACAACGGCCCTATTCCCTTTCCAACATGTAGAAAAACTAATCTATGGATGGTTGAAACAAAAACACACGCTGCAGGTTTGAATCCCTTTAAGAAGCAGTTTCCCTCAAACACATTGACGTGCTTTCTAATGTTGCTATTGCACCCAGATTCAAGACACAGAAGGAAAAAGACCTTTTATTGGTGTGAAAGTAAATAAGTTTTGTGCTTTAATGATTTTAATATGTAAGCAGAGCGCGCGCGCACACACACACACACACACAAAGAGCTTGGCGTTATGGAAGACATAGGACTGTGTGCCTGGCATTAGTACAATAGTTTCTATACAAACTAGTCTCTTTCCAATCAGGCAGGCAAACAATAGGCTCTACGTTATAGAGCAGTTGCCAGGTTGGAGCATTATCCCCCTTTTAAGACCCATACGCCAACATAACCCCCTCCATTCAGATCAAGTTTTACTACAAGGGTGGGAAAAAGCAACATCCCCACCCCAAAAGGTACACCTCCAGACAGTCCGTGCTACCTGGTGAAAGGTTGTGACACCTGTTCAAGTATTTGCAGGTTGTATAATGAATAGTTCTGATGGTGAAATGGGCTTTTTATAAAACCCTTGCCTGTAAATCGTCCACTGAAAAGTTGCTTACATAATGAAAATGCTTTAAAACTGTTAGCTAAAATTTTATGAACAATTCATTCCAAAGTACAGTTAATTTTGTTTTGATTGATCTGAAATTTGTGATTCTGAAAGTAAAAATGTCCACATTATAGATCAGCTACTACTAGTGTTAGCTAGCTCTAGCAACGTTGGGATCACAGACCATGAAAAATGGGACATCGTTATTTTGTAGGGACATGTTCAGTAACAAAATATCCAATTTATGTTAGACTGGGTGCTGTATGAAGCTATTTGAACAGAAACAGATAAATCTAGACCAGAGTAATGAGCTTGTGGCTAGCCACATTGGGGCTAATTACTAATGTTTTCTTTTTACGTTAAATAAAAATCCTCCAATGTCAAAGCTATCGTAGCATTTAATGCTAACAAAATTCTTTGAACTCTAGATCCAGTCAAAACTCATCTCTGTTTCTGCACACCGAGGTTGTTCATTTCGTTTGTTACAGAATTTAAAAACACCCCACTTCAATAAATCTAAACAATCCCTCTGGGAAGGAGATGTGTCGTCATGAATATGGAATATTGCAGTAACACTCGGTTCATTTCTTACAGATCTCTGCTTGCTTGAGAACATTTCAGTGCTTTTTCCTAAATAAGTCAAACCAAAAAAAAAAAAAGACAAAAATAGATCAACCTCTCTGATGTACATTTAACATATTCTACTGTTGTGCCACAGAAGTGGAAGACGAATCACAACAATCTGCTTAAGCAACCAGTTCAAAATAATATCAATGTTTGTGTTTTTGGCCATTTTCAACCAGGTTTGGCCAAAAACTTTATGATACAAGAAATATATTTAATAAAGATGATTTCTTGGATGGCGAGCAAACATGTGAAAAACAATCATTCTAATAATGTCTTCATGTCTTGCTCTTCATAAGAACATCGAAGATGAACGTTAAGACCAAGAGTGAAGCTGGTGTTATTCTTTTTTCATTCCCATCTACCGAACCCGGAAGCAACCTTTAGGACTGGCCGACTGAGACCCAGAACAGCAGGATTTATGCTAGCAAACATCACAAGGGTCTGATTTGGCATCTGGCGGGATGTTAGATGAGTCAGACGTTCAGCAGATACAACAAAGATGATTTTAGGAGTCGTGATACTTGTTATGCTTTAAAAGAAACCAGTCATGTAGCAAACACCAAGCTCTTCAACCTGGCTTAAAGATGTTTCAGCTGACTGAGCTTTTAACCAATCGTGTCTCACTTTAGGCTTGATGCTGAGCGATGAGGTTGCGTAGCTGTTTGATGACGGTGTCGATGAGTTTCTGGCGGTCTCTGTCGGTCTTCTTGAACTGGGCGAAAACATTGTTCTTCCTACTTGTTTCCTTCATCCTGTAAAATGAAGGAGAGCGGCTTGAAACTAGAGTTTCTACTCAACTCAAAAGTTCAACCCATAACCATCTCACCCGACTCTGGACCATCTGCTCTGACATTATCACCAAAACATCTGACTGAGCTGTCTCTCTGATGCACTCATTCCTGATCCCATCCTCCACGGTCGCTCCCAAAGAGAACCTCAACATCATGAGCTCTACAACCTCCAGTTCTGCCTCCTATCTTGTCTTCACGGGCACCATCGCTGAAATTTCCCTTTGAGCTATTTGAAAGCAACCTGAGGAGTTCCTCATGCTGTCCTGGTCCCCTGGATGTTGGTAGGTCTACCAGGGAAAACAACAACAACCTACTGCTAGCTAGCTAGCTAGCTACAGTCACCATCACTAATTCACAAAGATCTACACTCAATGTCAGGACATTTGTGTTTGGTTGGCCATCTTTTTGCTTTTATTGCTGTAAAGCCTGATTACTGACCTTCACTATAACTAGTGAGGATCAACCACTGTGGAACCACCTGAACACCTAAGTCATCTGAATGTTGTGCTCCAAGTGCTCTAGGTGTATGACTAACACCTCTATGTGTTAGATGTGACCAACAGCACCATGCTGGTTGAGGTATGGGCTCCCACTCTACAGTAACTGGTGACCAGCGATAGAAGAAGCCAAGCTGTTGTGGCTGTGTGTGGATCTTCAACATGCTATTGAGGCCCCCGATGATGTCAAAACCTCCAATTTGCGCTGTTGTCTGTACTGTTGGAGAGTCAACCAACTAAAAAAACCATCTACACCAGTGGCAGCTCCAGAAATTTTTTTCTGCAGGTGCTATGAAGGAGCTAGTCGTTTTATTGAGGGTGCCATGAAGGAAGTGGTCATGCGTACCTATTGTTCTCTAAAACACCTTCAGCACTAGCAGATACACATGCGTGCACAAAACCTCAACAACACCTGAGACAATCATTAATATACATCATAAACATATGAACAATCGCTGACTTTTCCATGAAATCATAAACACATACAGCCACACAGAAAAACATCTATAGTGTTGCAAGATTAGCTAACGTTCGTGTTAGCATTTCCAGCGGCAAAACCCTCGACTGCTGCGGCCGTTGAGGGTTGACTCTCCTCATCCAGATCCGTAGGTTTTTGTGGGTCTGAGATCACTTCCAAAGATTCATTTGTTTCTGACTGAACCCGTGGAAATTTGGGCAACAAAAACCGATCCATTTTACCACTAGCTCTACCTTTCACTCGTTCGCAGGTGGAAAATGAGGTCAAGGTTAACATCCATTTCCTGTTTTGGTTTAAGTTTTTACTATCTATATGATAATTTACTGGTTATTTTTGTTGTGTATGTTAAATATTATCACATCCACACGTAAAATTAAAATTAAATTGTAAAAAAAAAAATCTAATATTTACTTGGGGGTGCTATGGGGGTGCAATGACTAATCCAGGGGTAGCTATAGCGCCCCCTAGCGCCCCCCCTGGCGCCACCACTGATCTACACCAACATGATTTGCTACCAACAGACAACTGATGGACTCTTATTTCTGTCCTTGGTTTAGATTTGTTGTGTTGAAAATCCCATCCTATAGCATCATCTGGAACCCATGTCTGCTCCAAGGGGGAAAAAACAACAACCAATACTAGGTTAGCTAATTATCCTTTGGCTATAAAACCTTCAGTACAAAGATCAGTTTAAACATCGTTTGTCCTTTAACTCGTTCACTGCCATTGACGACTAAAGTCGTCATTTTAGATCCAACCGTTCACTGCCAATGACGACTTTAGTCGTCATTTGCATTTTTTTTTACTGTTTGAGCATCGGAAAGAGCCCCCGCGCTGAGAGAACAAACATCTCAGCCCTGAAGCCGATCTTCATCCGCATACGTCACAGATCAAATGAGCAACCCATCAATGTGTTTGGAGATCGTTTTGGGCCGTTCCTGTAAAAAAAAGTGAGGCACGAACCGGAGAAGCGTCTGCCGATCACAATTCAACAACGGATTATGAAAGAACGGATAACGCTCGAAACACACAGATTCTTCCTGATGTAAGAGGTGAGTCTCCGCTTTGTTTTGATTGTTTTGGTATCGACGTCATGCTAGCGCGCAACGTTCTGTGACTCTTAAAAAACAGTAAAAACAGTGAGAAATGCTGGCAGCGAATGCCGTTAGCGATCAGGAAACGGCTGGCAGTGAATGAGTTAATAAACCTAAACAAATTCTCACACCACTCTGGACCTACAGGAGGTCAGACCAGTCCAGTAGGATGCTTCCTCCAGTGCGTGTGTTATCTGCGTGAAGGATCTCAAAGGAAGTACATCCACAAACTCTGATTGAATGTCGTTTTCATGCAGGTTGTGATTAGCATCATTATTTTCCTATCAGCTCAGGCTTCCTGGTGCAGACACGGATGTGGGTGTTGCAGCGATAAACATCATCACACGGAGTTTATTTTCAGGATCTGTTGTCAGATTTCACACCTAAACAAACGTGTTAGCAGCGGTTAGTCGGCTACACATGCCTGCATCAAACAGCCCACTCAGACCATACTCACGGCTTTAATAACCTGTCCAAACACGATGGGAGACACCAACAAGAGGGTCAACAGGGAGAAGAAGAGGGATAATGTTCTTAAAGACAAGCAGCTGGAAGTCATTTCTACAGCTTTTATACATGATGGAGATGACTCACTCATCCTAAAGGGAAAGTTTCACCTTTTCTATGCTTGACTTCACATATTAAGGAATCTAAAGGCCTAGAGGGGAAAAAGGGTTCTGAGCTTTGGATTTTCCACCGTTAAGGCATCTTGAACTCCTGCTGCAACTACAAATTCTCCAGAGAATGCCTCAAGATATTAAAATCTGACCATCATCATTTTAATTATTTTCAAACCCAAAACAATCAAACTGTTTGAAAGACCAACCGTCCAATAAATATATCTTCTCTACAGTTTAATGTGTTGATGCAAGATGCTTTAAGCTTGGAGAGAAAGCTTGCTGAATGGCCCGAGTTCAGAGAAACAGTTTATACCTGACAGGACTGAGGAGCTAACGGCTAGCGTAATTGCAACCCAAAGCAAACTGTTGCTGCTGTCTGAAAACAAACTCTGGTCTACAAATAGAAACCTTTACTCTATTTCAGTGAATATTTTAAAAATGCCATTAATGGATGCTTATTAAATGATAGCGACATTCAGCTAACAATGCTAATGTTTATGCTGGTTAGGAAACAGAATGCAGGACTGTGGTAATAAATAGGGTTTGTGTGAAATTCAACAAACTAGAACCGTCTAAAGATGGCCGCAATACACTAGTGTTGAATGTTTTCTGACTAGCTGTTAGCCTATCAGTCCTGAAGGACATACACATTCTCCAAACAGAGGCTGTTCAGGAAGCCATCTACAACAAATACACACTTAGAATTGCAAAAATGTTCCATCTACATGTTCCCTAATGATGATTAAATAGTTATTCTACCCGTTTTATTGGTAAATGAAACAAAAGCAGCACCAAATGTAGTTTCAGCTGTAAGAGCGTGGTCTAAACAGGACTACTCACTTCTCCAGAAGGGCCAGGGCCGTGTGTGGGTTCACTCTCAGGTATCTGCAGGTAGATTTGCCGTAGTCAGCCAGGTAGGTCGACCAATCCCACTGAGTGAAAAGATCCAGTAACTAAAACAAAAACATGGAGAGAGAGAGAGAAGGTGGCGAATGAGCTGAGGGGTAAGAACGTTGACGCTAAAATGTTATGAGTGGGTCAGCGGTTCTGAGACAACGTTCCTTAAACCCTTCACCAAAAGAGCTCAGATCAAATACACTGTGTGCCTACGTACTAAAAAAGGAAACTCGTGACATCTGAGGCATTGGGACATGCGTGTTATAATCCTGCAGACGAACTGAAGTGCATCTCAGCTTTCCAAAAGGATAAAAATTGTGACATAATGCAGTAATGTTACAGTTACCTAGAGAACCCAGTGATACTGTTGGTTCTGTTTCTGCAATAATGTCTCTTCATTGAAACAGTTGTTTTTTAATGGACTTCACACACATTTGGACAGTGCTAGGACCAATCAGAGCAACGATCAACGTGACGTATTCGAGATGTAAGCGAGTCAGCCGGGGAGTCCGCCATACACCATTGAAGAAGAAGCAGCAGCAAATACATCCTTCTACTAAGTAAAGGACTTAAGGACCTCTTATCTGCTCATGTCTCAAGTCTAAATAGTCAAAAGTTGATGCCAAATCTGTTTCAAACAAGTGTCGTTCCTGAGCCGGCGCCGTCTTTGTTTGTCTCGGTTTCTAGGCTTTCTCTAGATTTTAATTCTTTAAAATCTTTCTGTAGAATATCATTTTAACAGATCTGAACTAAACCTTACATCTGTGGTGCAACACTTTTATTTTTTTAAATAAATGATAAATCAGTTGGCCCTAGAGTCTGCTCTAAGACTTTCTAGTAACAACAAATAAACGAGGTAGTTTCATCTTTCCTAGAAAGGCTGAGCTCTATAATGCTGTCTCAACTAGAGGTTGTTGTTTACTGACTGATATTCACATAAAGAATGAAATCAGAGTTCAAATACAGAAATTGCCTGAGAAAAGAGGTGCCATCTTCCTTTAAATGACCCACAAATCAAAGTGTTGCATAAGCCGCCGCTGCCCTGCTGAACTCCACGTAAAACAGCCCAACACATGCAGAAACAGGCCCCAGCAGGCTAACCCGTAAGCCATCTCTGTCTGTGTGAGAGCAGGGAGCCCCAGTGAACTCTGGGTAACACCAAACACACACACACACACACACACACCCAGAGAGAGAAACCATATGTGAGCCAGGGATGAGAGAAGACGGGGAGGGGGAGGAGGAGGAGGGATGAAGAGCAAAACCACATGTGGGGAAGACGCAGAGAAAATGAGAGGGTGGAGATGGAAACGGAGCGGAGGAGAGCGATAAGAAAGAGAGAGAGGGATGGACGAGTGATGGAGGAGGGATAGAGTTGGAAGAAAGTACACGTGGATTCTGAACAAATCAGAAGAGTTTGGTCTGCTGAAGGTTTCTTTAGAAACAAAACCCGAAGCAGCTCCATGTATGTGAGCTCTACCCTAACCCTAGCTAAAGATGCTAGTGCTACATTTGGTCCAGCAGAAAGAACAACTCCATCTACTTAGTGGTAAAGTGGTATATATATCTATTTTTTTTCCTCTCAAATAATTGTTTGGTTTCACTAAAGTAGCAATGACAAAATAAAAACAACATCACATTATTAATATTATTATTAGTTAAATTATTGATAATGTTTTGTTATGAAAATAAAATCTTGTTCAACGATTAACTGACATTCTTGTTAGAGTTTTACAGGCTGAACGCTCAAATAGCCGCTGAAAGAAAACAGACAGGGAAATGCCCGGGTCAGAAAAACATTCACTTCTACGTTACAGAGAACGTTAGCATCCATGGCCCCGCCTACCTTGGCTAACGACTGGAGAGCAGAATTGTGTCTCAGCTAGTAAAAGCTCACTGTTAGCATTAGCAACTCCACAACATGGAACTCCTTCAGACTTGTTACTTGTGGAGATAAAACATGAATGTTGTATTTTCAAATAAAGAAACAGCAAACAACGGCCGTTGGCCAATCAGAGGCAAGAAATGTGCATATGATGAATATTAATGAGTACATCATTTTCTACCCCTCACTCCTTCGGCTAACATCTACTTCCTGAAACAAGAGTGCCAGAGACTTTTTCCTGCAGAAAATGACTCTCAAAGTATTCATTCATACAAGAGACCACAGCAATTAATGTAGGCATTTGGCCCCAGGCTGTTATTGTGAAGGGGTTTTAACACAAGTTTAGTCTCAGATTGGTAAGACAGACCAAAGAGCTTCCTACTTTAGGTGTTCAGTCATAGTCACATAGGTGTTTAACCCACTGACAGTAGAAAACATTCACGACACTTGAGCTACAACAAAAACTTCCTTCTTAAAGCAGACAGAAGATTTTCTTCTTGGAAAATTCTACAAGAAAATCTCTCTGTGGTCTCTGAAAGGACCACAGCAGTTCAGCAGCGTTCTAAAAGACTAATGGCCGACATATATGAGAAGGTTTTGGTGGACAATAGCTGCACTCGGAACACAGAAATTATTCAAGTTTATCTTCTGGTTCCTTCATTTTTATGACCGCAGTAAATCTAAGACAGGAGGTCATGGCTACTGGAGCTACTCCTGCAAACAGGAAGTGTCCTGAATGTTTTCTACTTTCAGTAAATAGTTCAGTCATCCTCCACGGAGAAGACGAATGCTTCCCTTGTACTTCCTCCAGCTTTCCTCCCTTCCCTCCTCCCTCTGGTTCTTTTACTGCTGGGTTTCCCTCTCTTTGTCCTCAAGTTCACCCTCGCGTGGCCGAGGTTTGACCCGCTAATCCTCTTGTATAAACAAGTACAAATGGGCGTGTGCGCTCAGAAACAGGTACATACTAGGTTACGCCAAGAAAGAAACACGTTAATTAGATCCAGAGACTTGAGATGCGTGCGCGTCAGCAGCAGCACGCCGTCTCAGTTCATCACAGCGGTTAACTTGTGGGCGTTCAGGTCCACAACAAGATGGTTTTTATTGTTATAAATCAACAGAATCACATTAAAAACAAAAGTGAACTTTGAACTGAACAGATTTAGCTACTAAAGTATTTAAAGCTCCTTTGGCAGAGAGGCATTTAAGCTTTTTTTAAGACTTTATAAGCTTGGCAAACATTTTGTTTGGACGTTTCTAACATTTTTTGGCATTCAGCTGAAATATGTTGGCCAAGATTCCAGACTCAAGAGTTTTCCTGAAACTGATCCTGTTTCTTAATGCTATGATTAGAGCTGATGTTGAACTATCAATCTTCATCTGTGCCTTTATCTGGATTAACTTTCAAATCCCAGGTATGGGAAACATCCCACATGATGATGCTGCTTCCACCGTGTTTGATAACAGACTTTATGTAACCGTCTTATCCAGCTTCAATTAGTCCAAGAGTCAGTAAAAACAGGAGCTTGCTGGGCTGTTGGAGACATTTACTCCAGGTACACCAGGTTCCAATTCACTTCTATGCAAATCAATTCAATCCAAATCATTGCATTTAATTCAAACAATGTCAACATCTGATTAAATTCCAATTATATAAATCCATGTCAATCAGTTTCCATTCAATTCAACAGGACTACTTTAGGCCAAACCCAATTTTGTCTTAATCATTCCATTTCAGGTCAATCAAAATCAACCTATTACAGCTCTATACATATGATTCCAACCCAGTCCATTCCGATTGACCAAGATCCAGTTCAATCCAATTTGATCAAATTCAGACTGAAGTCCAACTACAAACATCTATTTTAGTCTTACACTGCATTCCATTTCAACTGCATACGGTCAGACTCAATGATTGGGTCAGCAGTAGCTCAACAGGCTGAGCAGGTTGTCCAGTAATCTGAAGGTTGCAGGTTCAGTCCCGGCTCCGGACAGAGAATGCTGGTGTTGTGTCCTTGGGCAAGACACTTAACCCACCTTGCGTGCTGGTGGTGGTCGGAGGGAACGGTGGCGCCTGTGCTCTGCAGCCTCCTCTGTCAGTGTGCCCCAGGGCAGCTGTGGCTACATCGTAGCTCATCACCATCAGTGTGTGAATGAATGAATGATGCACTGTAGTGTAAAGTGCTTTGGAGTCCTTACTCTGAGCGGCGCTATACAAGTGCGGGTCATCATCATCATCATCATGAAAACTCAGAGTCCATTGAAATTAGGGATGTTCCGATCACATTTTTTGCTCCCTGTCCGATTCAGTCATGTGATCTCTTGAAGATTTCTCTTCTCATCCGAGGAGCGTTGTCAATTCCGACTGGAATTTGGGAGAGTCAAGCTTATAAGCTGTAGCTGTCTATTGTTGTTTAACAAGTTGAAACTACTGTGGGTACCGCCTCTCCATCCCCTGATGAGTTGTTGGCCTCTGCTGAGAGGGAGTCGTGAAGATTAGCCCCCCCTCGCAGCATACTCGGCTAGCTAGAACCTACTGCCCCCCCCCCCAGAATTCAAGACAAACCTATCTTTGGGAGCGAGTTTGGCTCGAGATGGAGGTCGCATCACATTCACACAAATACTATACATATTACTTAGATTAGCCATTTTTATATTTTGCTTGTTTATACGTTACTGTATTTTTGCACAACTCTGTTGCTGTGAAGCTCGCACACAAGAATTTCACTCGCATGTACTGTACCAGTGTACCTGCACATGTGACGTGACAATAAAAGTGATTTGATTTGATAAATGGAGTGTCGCGCTAGAACTGTACAAAGACTGGTGTTGTTTAAAAGAACTAACCCCCTAAAGCCAATTTAACCGATCACATACAGTCCAATTCTGTCTAATTCCAACTGATTTCAGTTCAGTTACTCAGTAAAGTTCCAGGTAGTAAAAAGATGAGGGTGGGCCACGGAAACTAAAAGAAAGAGTTGGGATGGAAACAGTAAACTTATATCTTTTGCTTTAGAATTTAAAAAGAGAGATAAAGAGATGAGGGAGATGAGGGAGTGACGGGAGGAGGTGAAAGATCACAACTAGCGAGGACGAGATGAAAAAAGGAACGCGTGGGCTTTCCAAAAAGACTAAAATAAAAAAACAGCCACATGCAATCCAGCAGGTCCTGCT